GGGGGAGTCATGGCTATAATCCTCCCCGCATTAATCTTACCAATTATCTTTATGGTGATCAACCATTTTGATCTCAACCTTTTTCCTTTGCTAATCCAATCTTACCAATTATCTTTATGGTGATCAACCGTTTTGATCTCAACCTTTTTCCTTTGCTAATCCAATCTTACCAATTATCTTTATGGTGATCAACCGTTTTGATCTCAACCTTTTTCCTTTGCTAATCCAATCTTACCAATTATCTTTATGGTGATCAACCGTTTTGATCTCAACCTTCTTCCTCTGTTGATCCTAAGACACCTCTTAAAACCTGCTTAGAAATTCTTGAATATGAATCATTACTTTGCACCAAAATTGCAGTCTCTCATATTTTAGAAATCAACGACAATGATTATCATCTTACATCCCCTTGGGCCATTCTTGAGCGCTCTCTTAATACTAATCCTTTTCCACAAGAATACCCTTATGATTATAATATGTATGAAGCAATTCTTATCTCCCATTAAATGTGTTGAAATCTAGCACACTTATAATGAAGAAAATAAATCTATGGCTTATAGCAAAACTACTAGTCATAGAATTATTAATTATAAAGAATGAGGTCGTACTCCACATCAAATTAAAACAATTATAGAGAAACATCTAGAATCTCAGTTTATAAAAACTATTTCATTCAATTGCTGGACCTATATTGAATCCATGACTAAGGCATTTCTTGACTAACCATGACTAAATCTTTATCAACAATTAAAGAGGAAATTTTTGAATGAATCTACCAAAAAAATTAAAGAAAGACTACAAAATTAGCTTGCCAAATTATTTGAAGAAGACGAAGATCAGATGCAGGAAGATGATGAGGTATCAATGACTAGTGACAACGTACATGACAATTGGAAAAAATTATAGATGATAATCGTCTAGAAGTAAAATCTCTTTCAGACAGACAAAATTTAGCGATAGATCCAACCATGATCCAAAAGCTACTAAAAAAAGATATTTGAAAATTCAAAGCAAATATAAAAGCCAAGGCAAACTCAAAATTGCTCCACACTAGCTCCTCCTTTCAACATCAAAAACGTTAAGCTTTTGTAATTTTATCTTTTATTATGTTTTGCTTAAGAATTTTGGAGCCTGTTGGTTTGATTGCACTCTATATATGCTAGTAGTATTCTTTGTTGGTGGGCGCATGAACTAAGTTTCATTTTTATAAAGCTGTAATGTTTGCATCGTGGAACTCTTTCCTCATGCAGTGTATAAGTTTTTATTTTAATATATATAAAGCCGTATTTTAATAATTGCAGTGCTATGCTATTTTAATTTTGAAAATTGATATTCCTAAGGTAGGAATAAAATAAATTTAAAGAAATATGGTTACTAAAGTTTTATCTTATACTTGAAGTCAGGTTGTGTTGGTAAGCTCTATAAATCCTTGACAGTGTATAATGATAAATTTATTAACCCTCTCATTATTCTTGTAGAAAAATATGATATAACTTATAAGTTTCTTAATAATTTTAAATAATTGTGATGGCTTGCCTGTTTTCCTTTTATCAAAGTATTGTATGGTTGTTGTTGCCTAAATGCTATCTCCAATTATTTAAAATTCGGTAAGAAACTTAACTCAAGTTAGTATACATTTTCTATCAAGAATTAAGCCTGAATTTCTTTAAATTTATTTTGCATTTATTTGTATGAGTTCCTTTAAATAATTAAGTTTGTTTATAAAATTTTTAATTAGATGGGATAAAATGTTTTATAAAAAGTATAATTAAGTTAGTTATAACTATGATTAGATGGGATAAAATGTTTTATAAAAAGTATAATTAAGTTATAGCTATGATAAGATCAAATCCATTAGATCTCAAATGAAGGGTTGATATTATCACAAATAAGTATACAACCCTTGAAAGTTATAAACCCCGCTCCATCCCCCACGATTTATCTCCTAACCTTAATAGTGATTTATTTCATAACTTCCTTCTTGCTTGTTGCGAGTGGTGAACCTATTTAGCATCTAGGGCTTGCCACTAGTTATCAATCAATACTCTCTCCCTCTCACAACTCTCGATTCAACCGCTTGATTGGTATCTCTCTATCTCTAGAGCATTGATCGACTCGGTACATCTTTCTCTTTGCCCATTCTACTCATGTCTACAGATTTGTTTCATTTGAAGTCTTACCTTCTTTAGAATTGAATGAGGGTTTGGTATCATTGTTTGAGTGATGACCATATATGTTTCTAATGAGTAATGAATCAAATCAAATGGTTTTTATGATGTGCTTGTGATGTCTTTTGATTTACAGATGGTTAGGTCACTTGAGTGAGCAAAGGATGATGAATTTCTTCTTTTCTGTTTCTATCTTTTGTGATATTGCATCAAACATAGTGTTTAAATTTTTGTTTATATTTAATTGAGGCCCCGAAATTTCTTTTATGGCTGTTTCATTAAAGAGTTGGTCACTTATGCAGATGTGTGAGCAAAGGATAATGTGCTTCTTCTAAGCTTTTATGATAAATTCAAGCTAGTTTCGAACTAGTTCTAGAGAGCTCGAACCAAATTCAACCAAACAAATGAGCAAGCCTGATTTAAGCCGAGCAATTTCGAGAAATTTAGAGCTGAATGCGAACAAACTCATTACAAACCTAATTCGAACATGAGCCGATTTCGACTAAATATTAATGCAAACATGCCCAACACCAACAAAACCTCAGCTTATCTTGTTCGGCCTGTTCACAAACAATCTTATTGCTGCATTTAAAATGAAATACAGGTTAAGTCAGGTTAAGTCCTCACTGCCTCGGCAATCCACACCATCCTAACGGCCATATTTATGAAGAGCTTCCTGCATCTCTAGCTAATTACGCAAAGTCTCCACAAATTCAACACAATCATCTAAATTCTACTATTTCTTGGCTAAGATAACTATCAACCAAACCAGAAAATACAAATTCTGCTAAAATGCTGGGTGCAAAAGGATCAAATGGGAAATAAGTTTCTCATACTATAAATAAAAACATTACCCAATCTACCCTTTCAGGAAGTGACTAAACAAACCATATAAAGACAATTCTGAAAAAAATTCATCGATGGATAAAAGCCAGGTTCAAAATTTGAATAAATAGTTCAGTCCAGGCTGCTGCATTACATTTTCTGTTTGAGGACTTGGCGAAGCTGAATCTTCTGACTTCGAATCCTTGCTTCCAAGAGTTTTGCCTTCATGCTTTGCTTCTTAGAGCCCCAGGGCCATACTCCACGACCCTTCATTCCTTCAAAGTTGAGCAGATCAGGAGAGCTCCAATTGCCCACACTAGACGAGCTCAGGCCTGTTTCGCCAGACTTCCTTGCGGGTGATAGAGTGGCATTAGATAGCCTTCCATTACAAAGCCTACCACTGGTTAACTCAGAAGCAATATTCTTCAAATCCTCGCCATTACGTGCTCTCGATGACTTCCAGAGCCTGGATATGGCAGAACCTTTCTTTCTTGACTGCTTCGTGGTTACAGAGAAATCCTCGTTGATCACACTATTTTGTTTCTCATCATCTCCAAGCTCATCCCAATCTGTCCCGCTTATCGATGCCTGACTCTCTACATATACTCCATTAACAGAAGGTTCGCTTCCATTAGGTGACTTACATGAGTCCTGCTCTTCCAAATGACTCACAGTTTCCCATCCACTATCATCTTCTCCATCACCATTTCCATCAAGCATCAAGATATTGCACCCATTCATGGGTTTCTCCGAAACACCATTAACCTCAATGGTCACAGATCCATTGCATTGTTCTTTCTCTTTCTCATTAACTTGTTGTCTTGGCTGGAGTTGTTCCAAGATTGAAAAAATATCTTGTGAAGCTGGCAGGGCCTGGTAAGATAAGTCTTTAAGAGCTTCTGCTTGTTTCATCTCTGAAACATCAAAGCCAGTTCCATTTCTGGACCTCAAAAAAGCTTCTATCTCCTCCTGTAGCTTGCTTAGTTGTGAGTACTTCTCCTCAAGGGTTAGCTTTGCATCTATTAACTTCATCTGCACCCTTTCTTCACGCCAAACCTCAGCCATCTGTAACATTTTCCTTTCCTCTTCAACTTCTTGTCTGGTCTTCAAAGTTTCAATTTTCAGCGCCTCAACTTCAGCCTTATCATCCCCAATCTCCTTGGCCAGCTCATTGCAAACTTTTTCCAGAAGCTCACGAGTCTTATTCTCTTTCTCATAGTCTTGTAAGAACTGCTTTGCTGATAACTTTGTCTTGGTAAGCTCACGAACAAGCTTGGAATTCATAATTTCCAGTCTCTGCCGGTTTTTCTTCTCCCTACCCAAATCTTCCTTCATGGAATCAATTACAGAACGGATCTTCTCATGCTCTTTTCTCTTCCATTGAACTTTCTGATCTTCAATTTTTCTATAGAAGTGGTCGAGCTTTTTCTTAGCGGACAGTTGTTCTGCCTCGAGTTCGCTTACTCTGGACCGAGCTTGCTGAAGCTCGGATCGAAGAAAAGAAACGATGGACATCATGTCAGATTGCTGGTCTTCGAGGTGTTTCAGACTACCATACAAGCCATAAGAATCTTTCAATAAGTTTGGACATCCAGGGTCCCATTTTGTTGCCCTCTCTATTGAGGGGTGTAGTAGTGAGGCTGAAGCTTCAAGCTGAGTAAATGCACTGAATCAATAAAAGGATGTAGAAATAAAATTTGAAAGAAATAATATTAGGGTGTGTTTTTTGTCAAACTAAGAAAAAAGTAGGGCTAACCTTGTGTGAAATGTTTCCCTTGTGATTTTTTATGGGAAAAGGGCTACTAGATTCACTGTTGATGCAATTGTCATGAGAAGAACAAGGCAGGTGTAGCTGACAGCCATTCCAGTGTAGAGAAGAATAAAGTATCAGAAAGAGAAAAAAATAAAAAATAAAACTAAAAACTAAAAGCAAGCAATTAAGATCCCAAACGCATTTAAAATTAAAGAAGTTTGAGGACAGTGTTTTGGGGCCACCGAAAGCCACCAATACTAGTCATTGATACTGTCAGACCTGAAAGAATCCAGTCAGAGTCCACCGCAGGGTTTGTGTGCCCCTGGATTTTATGATGGTAACAACTTGAGTATATAAATCACTTCTTACAAGATCTCTTCAGGTAATATGATAGTTCTTTTCAATTTAGAAAAGGCTGCCTGGTAGCAAGCAAGATTTATTCAAAGTTTTGAAATAGTTAGAATGCAAATAAAAAGGTTTACAAAATCCTAAATCCTAGGGCCTTAAATCTATTCAATATTGTGTTTGGCAACGTTAGATCCAATGTTTTCTGCAGAAAGATGCCAAAAGTTTACTAAAGATATGGATTAATCATGAAGAGAAAAGAAAAGAGTGAGAGACTGAGAGAGGGAGAGAGAGAGAGAGAGAGAGAGGGAGAGAGAGAGAGAGAGAGAGGAGAGAGAGAGAGAGGAGAGAGATTAGGTCTAATTGATTCACCTCCATCGATTCAGCCTATAGAAGATCTAGTTGAAGCCTTTTAGATATAGTAGAGAGAGTTAACGAAGTTAGAAAGATTATTTAAAGATAGATAAAACAAAAGATTCAGTGGAGATCAAAGAGAGTCTAAGGTATAGAACATTAAGAAACTTTCAGCCAAAAGAATAAATCATATCACACGTGCTCTGCAAATGATCCTTATGTTTATAAGTGAGGGCAAAAATAAATGATATAAAATTGACCATGTAATTTAATTATATGAAAAACATGTAACTTGGACACAGTGAACCTAGCTGTGAAGCGAGTGAGTCTAGCTTGTAGTCAATTGATAATTGGAAACATCGGATGAGTATCGAATTGAGGGTGAGTATCCTTGAATAGTTTTGCTGGCAGAAACTCTAGTCAACCAAAAAGTACACAAGGTAAGTGGTCGAGTTGATTAAGCGAGTTGACTAGATGAAAGGGCAATTTTGTGAGTCACTAGGCAAGTTTGTTGGCTCCATTTTAATGGTAGAGCAAACTGAAATTTGAGCATTAGCAAAATATGGTCTTAGGAGACTTGATACTTTAGAAGAACTTGAGGCTTGATGAGCTCCAAGTGCAAGTAAACCAAGAAGGTTCACAATTAGCAATATGTTGAAACCGGTTAAGGCTCTACCAAATTGATTTGACCTGTCAAATTTAAATGCAATTAATTCTAAGATTTTCTTATTCCTTCTAAAAAGCAAAAAAGGCAGTAGAATGAATGTTCAAAAGAGCCCAATTTTAGCAACTAATGTTTGAGGTCATTGAATTTACTCATTGTCGTGTATGGCACTAACAATGAGTGCCAATGATACTCGCAGCAAATTGCATGATGAATATATTGATTGAAGAGGTAACATCTCCCTGCCATAGTGACTTAGATAAGCAAAACCCTTTGAAATTTTAGTATTATTATTGGTGTTGATGAGAATGCAGCTTCTCTGTCCAATATTCATGATTGTTGCAAAACTTGCTCCATCGATCCCAAGGACATCACAAATAATCCTATGTGGCTTTTGTTGCAAGCATATGTGTTGATGTGCTGGTTGAAAAACTCAAGCAACATCTTTGTTTATTTGAATGCCGACCAAACATCTTGACTAAACATTACAGGAGAAACAATATGCAAAAGTCTTCACAATCCAACATTTTCACTGGAAATGAGCCATAAAGTTATAAAGTGGCTCATTGAGCTGCTATGAGCTGAAGAATTCAACTAGGGTCTCTGAGCGCCGACAAGTTGTGTGTGAAATGTCATTTGAAGTTTGCAAAGGAGGTAATGTTTTTTTAAGGATGACAAGAAAACTACCACAATGGCACAAAGCTAGTACTTCACCATATCACTAACAATGAGAGATGGTTGACCCGAAGTAAGTGATGTAGTTGACTGGTTTGATTTCTAACTATAAAAATTTTAGAATCTTAAATTTATTGACAACTAGCCAATGTAATCTCTATTAAAAAGGTCATAGGTAAAGCTAACCCTTGTTTGGGTAACGAAAAAGTAAAGTATATGTTGTATTTTTGTCTAGAAGGTAGGGCTTGTTGTCAAAAAAGACAAATGACTAGCTTATAAATTGTGAAAGGATCAACACCTTAGAGAGCTGTATGATTCAATCTCTCGAGGGATGAGCAAGAAGCATGAAAGCACTCGAAAACCTACTTGATCATCCTTGTGAGAAGATCTTTCCATATTCTATCATTGTAGGAACGTGACATGACATTAGATGATACTTGATAATCCAATTCCTTATCTTCAACACTTTCAGACTCGCCACACATAATAAGATGTCATATCTAATGTTGATTATGGATGTCGAAGAGCAGAATGGAATGAGTGAAGATTCAGTCTCAGTAATTCTCTTGAGTGAATGGAGAGTTAAAACCAATTTATAAAGATAATTCAAGTAAGAAGAAGAAGAGTCTTAGGATGATCTAGGAGATAATCTGTGAGATACCAATGAAGTACTTTTATCCAAAAATACAAGAGGCGATCCATCAATAACTCTATATACTTACAAAAGCGGTCTGTGTGTGTGTGTGTGTTGTAGCTGCAACTGACAAATCAAGCTTGCAGTAGACTATTAGTTGAGAAATTTTGGATTGTGAGTAACCTCAAGGAGGTTTTTTTTGGAGAAAACCCTTATGTGCTCAAGATGAGTGACAAAGTTCTGGCCCTGGCGAATAAATGACTTTGTGAGTCCCTCAAGTGTGTTCAATACCTCAATGCTAAGGGATTCAATAGCTCAGCACTAATTAGCTTACTAAGGTTGATTCTTGGGTCACATGACAAGATCAGATCCTAAGTGACCCAAAGCTTTAGGTGACTCGCAGCATGGCAAATTCCAAGTTCTAAGTGGTTCAAGTCAGTTTATAATCAACAACTTGTTGAACCCCATTCAAGCTTCCTTATTGGCTTAATTTACCTGATGTACTTGAATATGCCCGTACAGGCAGGAGTTGGTAAATCCAGAATTTGGACTGGATTTACTAAATCCTAGTTTTAGCTCAAATCTCGCTTTCAAGTTCCTTAAACAAAAAAAATGTTTGGTTGAATTTATCTTGAGTTCAGTCTCACGTCGCGTGCCGAAGATCCAAACGGCACTCTAAATGAAAATTGTTAAAAAGTTAAGAAACCTAGGAAAATTTGAATTTCAAAAAAGCATAAGTCCACAGTTCGAAAGCAGAAAAAACTCATGCACAACCAAAAAGCACGATAAATAAAACTCGGAAAACCATCAAGGCGCCAAAATCCACAAACCAACAAGTTAGAAGCCCTAAATCGAAACATTGTCCAAACCTCCAAACCCTGATTCATTCTCCTTCCACCACCGTCTTCTAGTTGCCCAAGTTGCCAAATCCCAGCTGCGAGCCTCCTCGCTGAAAAGGACGGCCGCGATTCGTCCACCGCTTCTCTGTCCTTCATGAGTGTCTCGCCGGAAAGATCGATCGTTTCGTCGAACTTCCATTGCAAGAATGGAGTGGCTGGGCTTCTTCGTATATTACCTCCGCCTCCAGTAAATGCAGCACTCCGGATCCTCCTGCGGCGGTAATGGCGGCGGGAATTCAGGTCCGGCGAGATTCTGGACTGTAAGGAGAAAAGGGTATTCGGACTCTGCGCCGGAGTGCGGCTTCGAGCCGGCAGCTCAGCCATTAGCTTACGTCATTTGCTACGATCCCGTCGCCATCGGAGTTAAGGCCGGTAGCGCTTTCAGCGGAAGGAAAGATCTGGGAGGGAATGGGTTATATGGCCGAGGAGGTGAAGTAAAAATAGTTTAGCTTAAAATTTTTCGGTATTTACATACAGCCCTTAATTCCTATGTATTTGATACCTCAACTTTACTTATTTATTTATTTATTTTCTTTTTTATATTTATACCACCCAAAATATTCATATAATCTAAGAAATATAATTTATTTAATATTAAAAATATAAAATACATCTTTTCATGCATATATAGTGATTATATATATTAAACATTACAGGAG